GGGACAGCCTGGCACAGCGCAAATCCCCTGCCCATCAGGGACAGCCTAGCACAGTGTGAATACCTCGCCCACCAGGGACAGCCTGGCACAGTGCAAATTCCATGCACATCAGGGACAGCCCGGTGGTGTGAATACCTCGCCCATCGGGGACAGCCTGGTGCAGTGGGAATCCCCTGGCAATCAAGGACAGGCCGGCACAGTGCGAATTCCCCACCCTTCAGGGACAGCCGGGCGCAGTGCGAATTCCCCACCCTTCAGGGACAGCCAGACGCAGTGCGAATCCCCCACCCATCAGGAACAGCCTGGCGCAGTGCGAATCCCCTGCCCATCAGGAACAGCCTGGCGCAGTGCAAATCCCCCGCCCATCGGGCAGAGGCTGGACCAGCAGGACTTGTCCCCTACTCCAAGAGGGACAGATGGATGCAATGAGCAGAATAATGATAAATAATAATCAACTCAAGAGGTGGGCATGGCATGGCATGGAGGAAGTGGGGGAGGGGCGCCTCACAGAGTGGGGGAGGGCTGGCTTATGGGGGTTGGGGAGGCTGAGTCCTGGGGAAGTTTCTGGCTACCCTGGAGCATCAGGGTGGATGGCCCCTTCTGTGGGGTGGGGAAGGGCATGTCAGCCCAAAGTAAAGGGAAGGGAATGGGGGACCCCAGAGGCTCTCCCTCCCATGTTCTCTCTCCCCTTCAGTCCCAGATGGGGGACAGGATGCAGGTGTTGGGCTGAATATCTAGGGAGGAACTTCCTGCTCCAGGCCTATGGCTCCCCTGCCCTCTCAGGGTGCCTGGGTTGCCTGGCTCCCCTGCCCGCCCTTGCCCAGAGCCCAGCTGGCTCCAGCATGCCCAGAGATTCTGGAGGCTGCTGCAGGGAGCAGAGCCAGCGGCCAGCTCAGCAGCAGGCTGGAGCAGACTCCAGGCTTGTGCTGACCACGCAGCGGGTCCCCACGCGGCACGTGCAGCAGGAGAGGCCAGACCAGTCCCTCAGAGGAAATCCATGCTGGGCAGGGGGTCGGGCACATAGCGCCCTGCTACCCTGAGTGCGGGCTGCAAGACTCACGGGGAGTGCCAGCTGTCCCCTCCGTCACGTGGGGCTGTTAGAGGGGTGGGTCTATGTCAGGAGTAGGCAAACTTTTGGGTCTGAGGGCCACATCATATGGAAATTGTATGGCGGGCCATGAATGCTCACAAAATTGGGGGTTGGGGTGCGGGAGGAAGTGAGGGCTCCGGCTAGGGGTGCGGGCTCTGGGGTGGGGCCAGAAATGAGGGGTTCAGTGTGCGGGAGGGGGCTCGGGTCTGTGGCAGGGGGTTGGGATGCGGGAGGGGATGAGGATTCTGGCTGGAGGTGCAGGATCTGGGGTTGGGCCAGGGATGAGGGCTTTGGGATGCACAAGGGGGCTGAGGGCTGGAGGTGGAACAGAGGGGTTCAGAGTATGGGAGGGGGCTCTGGGCAAGGTTGGGGTGTGGGAGGGGGTACGGGCTCTGGGCTGGGGTTGTGAGTTCCACAGTGGGGCCAGAAACAAGGGGTTCAGGGTGTGGGAGGGAGCTCTGGGTTGGGGCAAGGGGTTGGGGAGTGTGGGAAGGAGCTCCAGGCTGGGGCAGGGGGTTGGGGTGTTGGGGGGTGAGTACTCTGGCCAATGGGAGCTGCAGAACCGGCGCTTGGGATGGGGCAGCGTGCAAAGCCCCCTGGCTGCCCCTACGAGTAGGAGCTGGAGGGGGCCATGCCGCTGCTTCCAGGAGCCATGCGGAGCCACAGCACACTTGGAGTGGGGCAAGCCCCCGACCCCACTCCCCGGCTGGAGCTCGGGGGCTGGATTAAAAGGTCTGATCGGCCGGACTCAGCCGGGGCTGTAGTTTGCCCCACCCCTGGTCTATGTGGAAGCATTTAACATGTGTGAGTGTAAGGGGTGTGGGTGTGCGCGCGCATGTGTGTGTACATGTAACGTGTGTATGTCTGCACATATGTAAGTAAGTGTTTATGCACGTATCAGTGTTTTGCAGTTTGTGTGTGAATCCGAGTGTGTGTGTGCGTGTGTTTGTGTATCAGTGTGTGTTTGTGTGTGTGTATCAGAGTGTCTGTTATGGGCTGGGTGAAAACTTGTTATGGATTGAGTTAAACCCCTTTGAGACGGGTGTGAATGAACCCTTCAATTAACTAACTGTCAGGATGAGTTAGTCAGAATCCCCAGCCCTAAGATAAAAGGGGACAGACAGGAGTTTGGACTGAGTGGGCAGAGGCCAGGGGTTTTGCTGAGTAGTGAGTGTGTGTGTGTGTGTGTGTGTTTGTGTGTGCGTGTGCTGTGTGAAGGCAGAACACACAGAAACTGAGAATAGACAGAGAGGGGCTGAGGCAAAAAGCAAGGAAGCCAAGCAGTAGCCAGTGAACACAGTGGGTATCTCTCCACTGCAATTAAAACCTGCGGCTGGCCTGTGCCAGCTGACTTGGGCTCACAGCGCTTGGGCTAAGGGGCTGTTTAATTGCAGTGTAGACTTCCAGGCTCTGGCTGGAGCCTGGGCTCTAAGACCCTGCAAGATGGGAGGGGCCCAGAGTTCAGGCTGCAGCCCAAGCCAGATCCCCCAGGCCACAGTTAAACAGGCCCTTAGCCTGAGCCTCACAAGCCCCAGTCAGCTGGCAGGGGCCAGCCAAGGGTGTCTAACTGTGGTGCAGACATACCCAGTGTGACCCTGGAAGAAGCTAGAGGGAGAACTTTGGGGTCTGTTGGCTAAAGAGGCTTGAAGCTCCTCCCTGCTTTTCAATTCTTTGTGTTCAGAGTACAGGATTTTTTACGTTCTTTGAAATAAACAAAACGGCATCACAGAAATAGCTATCACCAATTTCTACTCCCACCATCCCCACGACCCCAAACTTTGACTAGCCGCTCAGGTCAAAAAGGGGCAACAGCCGGTGTCGTTGCAAGTGTGTGTCAGTGCGTGTGTGTATCAGTGTATGTGGATGTGCACGTGCAAGCTAGGGAGTGTCTCAAAATGGTTTGACCCGGCCGGCCACTCTGGGATGACCCTGGCGAGGGGATGGGGCTGATTGGGCAGGGTGGGCTGGGGGTGATGTGTGTGGCCAGGGGACAAGAAGGGCCATGTGGAAAGCCCAGGCTAGGGATGTGTTGTGCAGCCCCAGGGTCTTTGGGTCCCTGTTTTACAGCTGATGAAGAGGAAGAGTTTGAGGACATCTTCCAGGGAATAAGGAAGCTCTCAACAGACTAAAGGATAGAGGGGAAAGAGCCCAACCACCCACAATTCACATCATGAGGAAGGTCCCCTCAGCCAGGTGTAGTACAAGGGGGACAGACCTTGCTGGGGAAGGGCAGAAGGAGCTGGGGAGCTCTGGCCAAGGAAAACCCCAGGCTGGAGGCCTTGTTACAAAGAGCCGAGCAGGTGCACAGGGCCGAAGGGGAAGCGGCCCAGGGACAATAGTCTGACAAGGGGAGAGAAGGAGGGCAGGGAGGCTGCTGCTAGAGGGTCCCTGGGTTGGGACCCAGAGTAGCGGGTGGGCCTGGGTCCCCCCCCTTCCCCCTTGTACTACACCTGGCTGAGGAGGAGTGTGGCCGGATACAGGCTGTGGCTGGCCCCTGTGACAAAGGGGCTAGACTTTGAGGCTGCAGCCGGCCACTAGAACAGGTGCAGACGGAGGACTGCTGATAACACCAGACCCCCGGAAGGGGCTGAGACCGGAGCAGTGGGCACTGCCAGCAGGCAGTGTCCTGAAGAGGACGCCGCCGAGCAAGGAGCAACCCGGGTCCCCAATGCAGCGGAGCAGACGAAGGGCAAGACACCACACGCAGAAGGTGCTCCATGACTGGACTGAGCTAATTCCCAGAGCATCCAGCGGGAAGCGCCAGCAGTGGTGAGTCGAACCCCATCACAGGGGGGGATACCAAAAAATGCATCACAGTAGCATTTAACTTCAAAAAGGGGAAATACACAATCATGAAGAAGCTAGTTAAACAAAAATTAAAAGGAACAGTCACAAGAGTGAAATGCCTGGGAGCTGCATGGAAACTTTTTAAAAACACCATAGTAGAGGTTCAAACCAAATATGATTTAAAAATAAAGTAAAGGGGACACAAAAAATGCCACCAAAGCTAAACAGAGGAGTAAAAGAGGCAGTTAGAGGCAAAAAGGCATCATTTAAAAACTGGAAGTCATATCCTAGAGAGGAAAATAGAAAGGAGAGTAAACTCTGGCAAGGCAAGTGGAAAAGTATAATTACAGGCCAAGAAAGAAATTGAAGTACAACTAGGAAAAGACACAAAAACTAACAGCAAAAAATGTTTTC